TTTTTAATTAATTTTGTTTATAGAGATAACCTATCTAGGAATTGAACCTACATTCCCTATGCATTTGCATAGTGCTCTACCAATTGAGCTAAAAGCTTCACATATGACATGTTGCCCTTTGCGATACCGGATCAGCTCCAGACTTTGGAGAGTAGACAAAATATCTTCTGCTTTGATGGCTTTAATGTCATTGAGCTCCTGCAAAACAATAAGCCACATATTCATCACAATCGAGCAGGAAACAGAAGTACAAAAGTTTTAGTCAAAAACATTAAAAAATAGACACATGGATCCTAAGAAGTTTTAAGTCTACAAACCAATGAGATAGAAGAAGGTTTTCATTCTACAAACCTTGATAGATATGTTTCCTTTATGCTTCTTCAAGATATCCAGAAGAACACGTGTCTAGTATCCCCTGTAGCTCAACAGCCCCAGATCTGAGAGTGGCCTTTCAAGTGTGCCCACCTTACCTTCTTTCTTAGAAAGTTCATAAGTTGTTGCTACCATAACTGATGTTAGCAACAAAGAGAGAAATGGCTATGCATATATTAGCAAAATGCCGAGCATAGATTCCCTATTGTGTAAACAACCCTTACTTCATTGGATCCTTAGAATAAGAAGCAGTGAAGTAACACAGGAGAGCGAAAAATTACTAGAAAATTGTTAAGGGTGGAGGCTTACAAAATGCAATAAGAAATTTGCCATAGCCTTTCATTTGATAGATGAGCAAAGAATTGTTTGCTCATATGATAAATACCAAGATCATCATCTGTTCAAATACCACCAACTAAGACATTAACTCAACTACCCCTGTCTGCCACACCAATCTGACTACCCCTAATAACAAAGGGCAGTTCATTTTCCGCATCAAAAGTATCCGAAGTATTACCTACAAACTCATTCAAAACAAACTCATTGATAATAGAGTACCAAGTCACAAGATTTCTAACAAGCATTTTATCAAACACCTTGTATGCACTATAAGGATATTCATAAGTATCATAAAAATGCACCAATAACCCATATAAAATCGATGAAATTGGCGTATAAAATTGCACAAAAATTAAGCAAAAAATCAGATTATGAAATCGCACAGGAAGTCAAAAAAAATCGAACAAAAATTAAACAGGAAACGCATAGGAAATCGAACAAAAATCAGAATTTTTTTTGATGAAATTGAAGCTAAAAATCGATATGATGCAATTAAACATGCAATTCAATGATTAATGCAATTCGAAAATTAACATGTAATTCGATAATTTTAATGAAAATTTTGAATCAAAAGTAAATTCGATAATCATCACAACATGAAATTCAATAATTTCAACAAAAATTCAAGAAGCTAAGAAGAGGAGAGAGAAATGACGGAATGAACATACCTCAATAATTGACGGAATTTCTGTACTTGTAAACAAGCTAAGAAGAGGAGAGAGAAATTATCAAGGTTGAGCCATTAAATTAGACGCCATTGATGAAGTCAGTTTTAAGGAGAGAGAAATCAGTTTAAGGAGGTTTATGTAATTAATCTCAGCTATTGAATTTAATAAGATTAATGACTGATATTTCTATAGACTATAGCTCTTATCTAAGGCAACAAAATTAGTTGTTGTAGTTAGTCGTTACATAGTGGTCGCAAAAAAAAAAAAATGGTGGACTCGCATTCACCATGAGTAATCTGCTCTCTATGTAAAAAATGTCATCTTCGGTTCTTTTGAATGTACTTTGATGTTTCTTATACAAAATAATTGTGACTGGTTCTATCATCACTCTAAAGGCTCCTTTGTCCTCTCTTTTTTATCAGCTTTAATGCAGTGTTTAAACATAAAGTGGGTAGCAAGTGTTTTTTTCCCTTCCTACAAAGTACAAACTTAAGAGATAATTATTGGTAACTTTGGGCCAATAAAAACCAAACATGAATATAGTCAGGCCTTTTTTTTTTTTTACATTGGGCCTTGAGTTATTTATTTGGACTTAGATAGTGTTTATATTTGACCCGTTATTGATCAATAATTATGTATGAACACAATCGGTTCCGGTTTAAAAAAATTGAGAATTTGGTGCAGACTACAGCGTAACTGTCTTTTTGGTAGTTAGGAAGTGGGACGTTTTAGGAAACTAAGCTTCCCGAAGAAAATAATTACAAATTTGGTTGCGTGGCAAAAGTATTTACAAAAATAAGCTTCTGGGGTAAACCGCTGCCTCGGGCAGCGTTTTACCCTCTATTTTTTTTAAAAAAAAATTTTGCTACAAAAACGCTGCCCCAGGCAGCGTTTTTATAGTTTGACTTTTTTTTTTCCTCGTTTATTTTTTTTTAAAATTAATTAAAAAAAAGGCAACAGCATAAAACGCTGCCCCAGGCAGCGTCTTATCTTGTTAATGAAACGCTGCCCCAGGCAGCGTTTCTGTCTGGTTGTAAAACCAGAAACTCGAGCTTCGTTTTCAATCACGTTTGCTCTTCATTCCTTCGCCTCCTTCGCAATCCTCTTCCTTCCCTTCCCAAATTTCCTCTTCAATCCTCTTCAACCCAATTTCGTATTATATCCAATTCAAGGTATGGTTAAATATTAGTTGAGTATTTACAAATTGTTCGTTATGTTTGTTGAATTCTTGAATTGTTGGTTAGTGTTGTTGAATTATTGAATTGTTGGATATTGTTGTTGAATTGTTGGTTAGTGTTGTTGAATTCATGAATTGTTGTAACGAGGAAAAAAAAAAAGTCAAATTATAAAAACGCTGCCTGGGGCAGCGTTTTTGTAGCAGAATTTTTTTTAAAAAAAAATAGAGGGTAAAACGCTGCCCGAGGCAGCGGTTTACCCCAGAAGCTTATTTTTGTAAATACTTTTGGCACGCAACCATTTTTGTAATTACTTTCGTAACGAAGCTTAGTTTCTTAAAACGTCCTCGGAAGTGGGTCCAAATTGGACATGCAGCAACTAGTCAACTACCTCAAATTCAGTAGACTGGTCTCTGTTCAGAAATCCTCTGTTTTGCCGCACCTAACTGTCAAGTGTCACTAGGAAGTCTGGTAGTTTAAAAAACAGACATTCAGTTTTTCTCACCTTATTGTCAAAATTTCGTACTTATATTTAGCTTAGTTTGGACCAAACTTCATAATTTCTTTATGTTTTTCCGACCATTAAGTTACCTGTTCTTCATTTTCTCATGGCAAGATTCAAACTTTCCTCCATTTTCACCCAAAAAAAGCCCAATTCAGCAAAATCTCGTTAATAGTACCACAAATAACTATTTTGTTGGAGTTTCTCTCTGTTCTTCTTCGCCGTCTCAAGATTAGAAGTAAGTTTTATCTTGATTTTGATTTTATAGATTATAATCATCAATTTCGTGTTTTTTTTTTCTTTTTATTGATTTTAATGGGAATTGAAATGGGTAGTTATTAATTTGCTGAAATTTTGCAGAAAGAAATGGCGGGAAATCGCGAATGGAGGAGGAAGAGAAGGTTTATTCTTGGTTATGTGCTTTGGCTCAAACTGATCAAGCTTTGGCTTTTGAATATGTTGAATCAACTAAGCAAGGTGAGGAATTTTTAATTATTTATTTTTTCGATTATTTTTTACTTTTTTTTTTTTTTTAACTTGTACACCATGTTTTTGATAAAATGTCTTTAACTTGTTGACTTTGATTGAATTTGTCTGAGTACAAATAATAATGTAAAATAAAAATGTGTTTGATATGCCTGTAGGGGCTTTGTCTTCTTGAACATGTAATTATAGACACAGTGACAGTTAAAACAACTTAACAATTAAAATGTATATACACCAGGTGACCAGGTTTATCAATTTATAGTCAGGAATGTACCTTAGACAATTGCGGGGTTGCACTTAGAAAGTAGGAAACAATGCAACTGCAAGCATTTAGAAAATGAGAAGCGAAGGGCAACAATCGCGTCTCTGGATAAACTCGTGTATCATCACTCAATGGCAAACTTCTTTACAAGCTTTTATGTAATGAAGAGAGGCCAAAGTTCATAATCTTCAACCCACTATATATGGCAATATGAACTAAAATTTCAAAAAACTGGTCATACATATACAAATTATTTTTGTTATGGCATTATAATATGCAATAACCATGAATGAAAGGTTGTGATGATATTACTGGAATCACTACTGTGAGTGATGGAAGTAATTTACACGAGTTGCTATAAATTCATTTCATATGTTCCCTGAAATTTACCATCATACTAGAGTAATTTATCATAAATAACTTACACGAGTTGCTATAAATTCATTTCTTATGTTCCCTGAAATTTACCATCATACTAGAGTAATTTATCATAGATAATTTGGTTTCTTAATTTGGGCTTACTTTTGTTAACATGGCTTTCTAATATGATCAATCCTTATCTTTCTACGCAGGATTGAGCTTTTCTGAAGCTAACAGAAGACTGAAAGAAAGTAGTCTCAATGTGACAATGTTCCAGTGGAATGCACATCACAAAAGTGGTGGCTGCTTCTATGGAATTCTATATTTCATCCTTTTAATGTAAATCTAATAGTCTTGTCAACACTGTCTTACATAACTTGGGACATTTTAAATGGCTGCATCATGCTGGTACCGGTTTTCATAAGTGTCACTCTTCGTTTCTACCAGGTCAGAATCTATTTCAGCTGTTTTCGGCTCTCAAAGACAAAGGTTTAATGAGCCATGCATAGTCATCTTTTGCTGATCTTCACCCTCGCAGGAATACAGTAGCACCAAAGCAGCTCTGAAGCTTTCTGAATATTTAAGATATCCAGTTAAAGTCCAAAGATGTGCTCGTAGAAGATCAAAGCCATTCGAGTCATCCAGCAAGTCGCCGATGGATGCAGTTGCCTAGGATGGATAATTCTATCAACTGTTTTACGTTTTTGGATAAGGAGTCCTTGGCTGTTGGTACTGAGCTTTCTGTTATTGGGAAAGACATAATGTGCCAGGTCATTAATTAATATAGTATACTAGCAAACTCTTTGTCGTCTGGGTTGAGCATGAACTATCCTAAGTGTTTATTTGGGTCTGCAAGCCTTGGTGCAATTGCCATCTTTGCTGGTGGTTGTGATATACAGGGTGACATTCTTAGTTTGAGATCCATTCCGAGCATGATCAAACCGAGGAAGATGTGATCAAACCGAGCAAAACTAAGAATGTTGCCCTGCATGGCTGCATATCACAACCAACAGCAAAGATAGCAATTGCACCAAGGCTTGCAGACCCAAATAAACACCTAGGATAGTTCATGCTCAACCCAGACGAAAAAGAGTTTGTTAGTATACTATATTTATAAATGACCTGGGACATTATGTCTTTCCCAATGACAGGCAGCTCAGTACCAACAGCCAAGGACTCCTTATCCGAAAACGTAAAACAATCGTTAGAATTATCCATCCTAGGCAATTGCATCCATTGACGACTTGCTGGATATGATGGACCTCGTCTGTAGTTTTATATGTCATTCTGATGGTTCCACAGTAGAAGCACTCTCCACAGAAAATCGCCAAAGGATTCAAATCACGAGAGAAGAATTGAGCAGAATTGGGTTACAGGTTCTTGGAGTAGCAATGAAGGAGCTAGAAATGGTATGTTCAATTTCCCTTTTTACAAACTTGCATCAATCTCATACCAAACCTATTGAAATTTGAAAGTAATATGTGGTTGCAGAAGATAGGTGTTGAAGGGAAACTAATTGGTGATTCCAAAGAGTCAGATATGGTTGGCCTAATGACATTCTATGATCCACTGAAGGACTCTGCGAAGCTAGCTTTATGGTGTTTGGCCAAAAAGGGAGTAGAAGAAAAAGTTGTAACCGGTGACTCTTTATCTCTTGCATTAAGGATTTGTGAAGAGGTAGGCATCAGTACAACTCATATAATCACTGGACCCGAGCTTGAGTTGCTTGACTGGTTGACCCTGGCACTTTCCATGAAGCCGTCAAAAAAAACAATTGTACTTGCTCGGTTAACTCCAACTCAGAAGCAACAGATGGTTCAAGCATTGCAGAATGGAGATCATGTTGTTGGCTTTTTAGGGGATGGTATTAATGACCCGCTGGCCTTGGAAACTGCTAATGTGGGGATATCTGTTGATCATGAGGTTATTTTTTCAAGGTCTGTTGACTGTTATCAGCAGAAAATTAACTTGTATTGGCACTCATTAACAACATATGAGAATTTTGTATGATAGAATTAGGATTAAATAACAAAGAAAAGCCGCATTCAAATTTCTCTTCAGATTTCATAAGAGTAAGGTAAATAAGGTCTGTTACAAAATGTATGTGATGCAAAAACAAGAAACTGCAAGTCAATAGAATTGGCACTCATTGACATCAGCCCATATGCCTTGTTTTCAAGGTCTGTTGACTGTTATCAGCAGAAGATTAACTTGTATTTGCACTCATTGACAACATACGAGATTTTTGTATGATATAATTAGGATTAAAGAACAAAGAACAGCCGCATTCAAATTTCTCTTCAGATTTCGTAAGAATAAGGTAAATGATGTCTGTTAAAAAATGTGATGGAAGAACAAGTAACTGCAAGTCAATAGTAGGAAAAATATGACATCTGAGTTGTGCGATCTGGGTGAGCTGCCTGCATAATAGAAGTGAATTTATGAAAACGTACACTATCAGTATCTGGTACTTCTGAATGGGACAAATCAATGGGAACTATAGATGTACTTACTGAATTCAAGATAGTTGTTTTTAATGTTCCATTCAAAATCCCAGTGCTTCCTGTCATTTTTTATTGTCCAATAAGCCCATCCAAATGAAGCAGCATTATAAACATCTAACTGTGCTTTTCCAAAACTCTGGTAGTCTTGTTCTGATCCGCTTGTTACATTCCATTCATTCACCCATTCACCTGAAACTCAAAGAAATACATTCATAAATATCTGAAGCTCGTTGATGGAGTTTTCGCAAGGAATTTTGGGCAATAATTGTAGATTTTTTTCTTAACTACCAATGAAAAGAAGTGGACCACTCGCATTGTTAAGCTGTTGCAGTTGAGCTTCCCTACTCTTGTATATATAGTCAATATTCTGAGCTGAACTCATATGAACAAAGAAAGTATCAAAAAGGTTGTAATAGTGCAGGTCCACCACAACATTTGTGAAGCCTATGTTAGCCTGATAAAGTTCAAGAGGATCTGCATTGCCGATTCTCTGGCAGACTATAACATAAGCTGTTGGGGAATACTTTCTCACTGTCTCATAGCCTTTTTGGTAATAGGAAACCAAAATGTCAAGCGGAACTCCTGCAGCCGATGGTTCATTCAAGAGCTCGATTCCCAGCAATGCAGGGTGGTGTGCATATCTGCAACAACAAAAAATTTCAGCTAGTTGGTGATGCAGAAACCAACGTGGTTTAAAATGGGACAACCAAATAGATTTGAGGCAATAAGGCTTCAATTCATTCGTTTTATATGTAAGGATTTTTCCCTAAACATAATGTTGTAAGGTGAAAAGAACAAATCCCAAGAAGCTTTGGTGTGGAGGGTTTACCTGGAGGCCAAGAAGTCAATAACATCCAATGTTTTATCAATATTATCTTGGGACTTAGGCCAATCAACTGAACCGTCTCTGCTTGCACTATGTTCCATTCCATTTTGAGAACCGGGGGCAGCATGAAGATCAATTATGCACTTGATATTATATGTTCTGAACCACAAATGTAACATGCTTGTCAATACAAAGCAAAACTCAAAATTCACCAATAGACTATATACTTCATAAGTATTAGAGCAAAGACCTACTGCGCCCAAGAAAATGCATCGTCTAATGCTGCCAACGATCCCCCAATGAAAGGTGCAGGAGGATCAGGATCAAAAGCAATCCACCAGCCAACAGGGATCCTCACCGCATTTATCCCATGTGTACTAATAAAATAAAAGTCATCTCTGGTAATAAAGCTGTTTCTATGTTCCTGTGCTTCAAAAGGTGAAGAAAAACAACACATGTAAGAATCAGAACAAATTGTGGGTTTTCTGAACTTCTTCATTAAGAAAATAGACTAAATACCTCACGGGCTAAGGAACCACTAAACTATTCCCTTCGACCCACATTAATCTATTGATTCACATTTTACAGGAAACTTTTATCTGTAAAGTTGAGGCTCACTCGAAAGACTCAAAGCATTGCCCCGATACATTACAAGAAAGTGGATCAGAATTGCTAACAATTACAGCATACCTCCAGAACTTCTTTGGCCTTGGCATGTCCATATCCATTTGCAAGCTGGAAATCGCCATTAAGATTATTGGACACGATTGTCATCTCAAAGGTGGCTGCATTATCATCCCATCCCGGCGTCCCTTGATAATCTGCTGTAATCTGGCTTTCTGTCATAGCCTAAATTGTGAGACCAAATCACATAATTCTTAGTAACCAGCATTCTGAAAAGAGAAGCCGACTCTGTGACTCTTAGCATAAAATTTTGTTCAGCAAAACTATATTTTGCAGAGCACCATGCAGAATAATTTCTTTAATGTGTTAGAAACTGGAAGTTTATTATGTATAAACACATTAATCCAAGAGTTTTGTTTCCCCCCTTTTTTTTTCCTGATCATAGTCGTTAGACAAGGACATTTAGTCATGTACTTCGAAATTCTCTGTTAGAATTTTGTCATATACTTTGAAATTCTCTGTTAGAATTTCTGATGATTACTGGACGATCATTAACCCGATGATAAGCTTAAGATGCAAATACATACCTGCAGGTATATGCCACTCTGAAGTTTAATATGAAATCGGCTGCTATTGTAAAGTCTCTCTATGTAAAATGTCTCATTGGTTGCGGGTGCATCTGTAGTAGCTGATACAGAGCTTCCTTGACCCTCACATGTCCAAAATTGCCCTTGTGTGGAGCGCAATTGGAATTCTTTCTCGGACACTCTCCATAACTGCAATCATTTTGTTGAATGCCTTGAACATTATTTTCATCAATTGAAAATTCAAATATCAGTAACCATCAAAAATCTTTTAAAACATAGATGCAGGAGTAAGAAAATCCTGAATATATTGCATATTTCATCACAGCAAAATGTTGAGCAGTTCAGTCAGAAAAGTTATTGACCAAAAATTCAGGCAGAAACAACCTTTCAGATTACTGTAAGGTCTGTAACTAAGCTTATTTCGAAAATTTAGATAGACATATTATCTAACAGGAAATAGTTCTTAGTCACGTCTGGCAAAAAAAGTTGCACATCCATGATCATAAACCAAAACTACCAATTTCCATTACTCTATTACAGAAAAACTCATTGACACACAATTACAATATTACATACAAGGAATTCTGATTCCTGTTCATGATCACATCCTGTTAAGCACACAAGCAATAACTTTTTCATGTAGCAAAATGTATACAGAGTACCAATCAATTCTGAACCAAACCAAACCGTAAAAAAGTATGTAAAAACCACACTTTCAACTTGTAAGTGACAAAAGTAGTCAAAAACGAACCCGAAACGTTTCCCAGGAAGATGGTATATCCCTACTGACTGAGACATTTGAGCCACCTCCATTTTCAGCAGAAACATACTTCTGTAATGTCACTGACTTAAACTGCACTTCTGTCCCATCCTACATTTTAATTGAAACACAAGCATAAACAAACAAATTCACTATAATTTATTCATATCAAAATGATAAACCAAACAAATCCCAAGTCAAGAAATCTCACAAGCATATCTCCATTGAGAATTCCATCAAAAAGAGAAGGTTTAATCCACCCTTCAATCACCAACCACCCACCTAAATTTACTGCTCTAACTTTTGAATTTCCTTTTATTCCTTCCACTTCATTCAATAATTATCAAACAAAAACATGAAAATTATCACAATTAGGATAAAAAAAAGTTCAATAAAAAAACAAAGCAAACTTTTTACCTGATAATGCAGCAGAGAAGAGGAGACAAAAAGAAAAGAAAAATGCCAAAACCCATTTCTGGAAAACAAATTCCATGTGAAGTGTACAATTCATCTCCTACAAGATTAGTTCTAGAAGAAGAATATCATAAAGTAAGCGGAAATTTATCCAAACTCGTTAGGAAATAACCCCACTTTGAGCAGAATCTTTGGTAATTCCTTTCTTTGAGATAAATCAATCCCAAAAACTGTACTAAGAAAAATAAAATAATTAACGTCTTTTAACAACGTTCATGTATGTGAGACTAATCAGTTCTCGTGTACGGAGTATGATCCAAGAATCATTACATTACTTACTATAGAAACTTTGAGAATGCTCATAAAAAATTACTACGTAGCATTACAATAAGGAAAAGGTTATTAATACATGAATTTTTTATTTTTGGAATTTTTTAAATAAAAAGAAGATGGTAGAAGAGAAGAAAAGAACAAATTTGGAGAACTTTAGAGGAACAGAGAAAGCCCAATTTTTGCTGTAGTGTGCCATGTTAGGCTATTAGGATTATAAGGTTTTTGATTATTGATCAACCACCTTACTGCAGCTGAAAAGGCATGCCTTATCCTAACCGAATCAACATTTTTTATAGGTAGAAACTTCATTAAATTGACATTTTTTTTCTTTTTGGACAAGGATAAATTGAAAGTATAATAATATCATGTAACTCATGTTCAATTAAATTTACAAGTCCAATTTTTAGAAAATGGTAAATTATGGAGAATAATTTAGTTAGTTCAGATTAGAAAGGCTTTGGGTTCATAGAACACACTTTTAATTTATACAACAATGTGCTAATTTGATGTAGAAAGATACAGTGTGTTGTAAAAATTTTAATATACACCTTATGGTGACTCAATGTTTTTATTATTCATTTGGTGATTAAATGCGAAATTCATTGAATGAACAAAAAATATCTTTAGGTACACCTTACACAGTTACACACGGGTGTACATAAGAATATTTGATTTTTAAGAAGGTTGTCTCGCTCAAAAGTGGGAATTCACTTGTCCCCTTCTCCATAACGACCTCGTGAGTGACATCCGAAGTTCAATAAGAAATCTCGATTTAAAGTTAGATGGACTCAGGTCGATGACATTTGTGGAAATTGTTATGGACCTCAACCTCTAATGAGTAAGAGATTGCATGTTGGGGGGATTTCATTGTTAGCTTACTAGTATTAGAGGTTATTTGGTTGGGGGATTCAAGAGAGGGAACTGTAACTTGAATAGAGGCTTAAGGTGTATTTATATCTTACTACTTAATATCCAAAACAACCTTGTTAATATGTTAATTGCATATAAATAAGGGAGGAGTAGGAACAAACACTCCCTGTTATTAACTAATTACTCGTAATAATTATGATATCATAGAGCGTAAATAATACGAAGTATATTGCATGGGTAAATTATTAATCAATAGGTTACCAAACATCTTGTAGAAAATTAGACCTTTTTATCATGAACTACTGTGTTATTTAGTTTGAATTTTGGCAAGTGTTGGCCTTTTTTTTTTTTTTTTTTTTTTTTTTTTCTTCTTCATGCAATACATGCTACCTATCTACATTGTTCCTCTCAGTCCCTTCTCGCGTTCCTCTCAGTCACCCTTAAAATTGTAGGTCGGCTCACTTGATAAGACAGCCCTACCCCATATGAAGATGTCACACCCCACAATGAGAAATGACCCAACAGGCCAACATGGTCGTTCATTAGTCGTAGAAGTGTGAAAAATGGCACTCCGTATGTTTGTTTAGAGAGACGGGGATAAAATGTTCTTGTATCCTAAATTCCTAATCCTGTTCCCTATCTACATCAAACAAGTGAAAAAACATAAATTTCCCCTTACTCTATATCACACGCCCCGTAAAATATGGACAAAATCAAGGGAAAAACAGTACCCTGTTTGAAGGAGAAAACAACAATGATGTCAAGCTGCTGACAGCTTTAAAGTTCAAACCTGCTATTTGGTCTTAATGTTCATACCTCTCTAACATCAAACTAACTGCAGCACACATTTACACACACTTCAGGAAGATAAACAGGGCAGACAGTCTGTGCCTGACGTACTCAGCTAGTATACACCAATTAGAATCTTTATCTGTTGAACCTTAATCAAAATGAGTGTTCACACCAGCAGAAAAATCCCTGAAACTGAATTGTTTTAACAAGATCAAAGAAAGACAGTAACATACAAGTATGAAATAGCAGACCTAGCAGCAAACAGAATTCTATAGTATCATACGTAAACTTAGGGTATCCGACGAGTTTTTGTGAAAAGAAAACGACTCCTAATGCGTCTTTAGTTTTCCTCTCGATACACTGACAGAGTCAGAGCATCAGATTTGAAATGAGCTTATTTGCTTCTGTTTAGTAGAACACTGAAAATAATTCAAGTACTTACAGTGTCTCATACTCTCATTACTTTAAAGCATTTGCAAGTCGTTCCTACAAACAGATCATGATAGAATATTTTCTAGGATGAACTCATATCATGATGACAGATTAGATCAAACACAGCAGAATTCCAGCTACAATTGTACACCCTTGGCTCTAGGAGCTTTGATTTTGTTCAGACAAGTCACTCGAAAAATCTACAGCAGAAATAACACAAAATGACATCTAGGAGAGTTAGTTCAGCTGAGACCTGTGTGTCTGACACAGGTGCATATTAGACAGTCTAGTTACGCCATTTTCTTGAAGAGCCAGCCTAATCAAGCTATACATTCAAGGAGGAAATGCAAGTGCTGATTCTAAATGGGAGAAAGAAGGATAATCAAATTGAAGATGAACGACAGTCACATCAGCTGACAAAATATGCACATAACATTCAATGTAAGTAACTAAGAAAGGTAAATCTATCAGGCTATCAGCAATAAATGTTGGCAAACGCAACACATTCAAGCACTAACCACTGTCCTCAAATTGAAATAGACCTAATAAAAATTTTACTACAAAAATGCAATAATGCAAGGCAGACCTAGCTGTAAAATTTCACTACAGCAACCAAATAATACTTAAAATAGCATATAATCAAACTTTTCCAGTAAAAGATGAGCTTCTGCAGCAAAAACAAAGCATAAATTGTAGTTCTTGATGCCATTATATTGTATCATTACTTACTGAGTGCAAAAATTGCAGAGGCACTCTAATCATATATAGTGGCTTCAATTTGAGTAAACCACAATCGTTGACATAAAGTTTTATCATATTTACATTAATTTATCATATCATACCAATGCCTGAATGCCCTATCCTCATTACCTATATATGCTCCAACGTCTGAAACAGCCTTCGGCACCAGACAATTAGACCAGCTTTATATTCCTGAGACTTTGGTATGTTGGGACCATAATTCACCAATGTATAGCAGTATAATTATTTGAGGCGGTGAGCATGTCTTATGACATTAGCAAGATGATCAATCCACCTTATTCATAATGGAAGAACTGAGGCCTGGCTTTTCGTCCTGCGAAATGAAAAGAACCTGCTACTCGAAGACAACGATCTCTTCATAGAAACAGGATCCTTCTGAAATGATAGACCAATAGACGAACTCTTCATCAATAAACCTGACATACTCGATCCCCTCTTATTACCACCCCCTTTCCCTGAATCAACCTTCTTCTCCTGCAGAACAACCCCAGAATTCCCACCACCAGAACACCCTTCATTGTAACGCCTATCACTAGAACTACCTTCATTGCCCACAACAGCACCACAGGCTGCAGAAGCAGCTACAGCATCGAACGAAAACGACCTCCTAACCGGCTCCAAACCCTCCTCCACCCCTCGAAACCGATGATTCTCACCTAAATCACTATAAATCCTTAGCTCACGATTCTTCTTCAAAATCTCAGCTATCCTTACACCCTCCCCAACAGGCAATCCCCTCAATACATCCTCCCTTTCCCTCGAATTTCGATCACTACACTCGCCGCCTCCCCTAAACACTAACCCTCCATCATCCTCCTCCAAATTCACCCTCACACCCTCCTCACCGGAACCCGAACCACTCGAATTCAACCCCATTACACCAGAATCACCCCCCTCAACCTCATTCACAACAGGAGCCCGGCAAAGGGGGCAATTCTTATGAGACCTCAACCAAGTATCAATACAAGAAACATGAAAAGCATGACTACACTTTGGCAATAACCTAAGATCATCACCTTCCTCAAACTCAGTCAAACAAACAGAACATGAAGAATCACAACCATCAACAAAAAACCCATCAATTTTATTATACTTAAAAGCAGTTATTGAATCAATTACCGATTGTTGAAGCCCAATTGTTGCGATATGCCAAATTGGGTGATCCACAATCGACCCACCATCGTTCATCGAAGCATCATCGGAGCTCGCCGGAGAAACCCCTCGTCTCCGGTCGGTAAAACGAACCCTCAAAATGATAGTGCAAGTCGTAAGAAGAAGGAAGGAAACTCCGAGAATACAAACAGTAGCAATCAAAAAAGGAGCTATATGACTCTGAGAAGACGGTGGCAATGGCGGCGGAGGTGACGGCGGAGGAAAAGGAAAGGCGTAAGGGTTGGCGGGGTAGCGGTCGGAAAAACAGGGTTTGGTGAGGTTTTCACAGGGTCGTAAGAAGCAATAAATGTCGTCATAACCGGGAGAATCTGCCATGATCATGGAGCTTGAAAGAGATGAAAATGGCGGAATTTTGTTAAATTTGTTGTTTATATTTTGAGGGGTTTGGAATTGAAATTGGAATTGGAATTTTGCATGGTGTAGAATTCAAAGGAAGTGAGTGCGTTTCAGTTGGGTGAAAGGGGAGTTATGAATTTTTCCTGTAAAAAAGTCAAAAGGGGGAAACTTGAAGTCAAAATTCCGCGTATTATTAAATGGAAATAAATAAAAATGGTGGGTGGAAATTTTATAGATAAAGATGGGAGGAGAGAGAAGGGAGATGAAAAAATACGTGGAGTTTGTTATGCGAGATTAGTGGTTTTGAAATTGAAGGCCGGTGGTCATTTTTTTTGGATTGATGTAATAGTGCATTATCCATACTTCTTTCATTCTTTGGAGTCCCAAATACTAGTAAGTGGACTAGTAGTAGTCTAGAATGTCGTGCATGTTGGTTAAATCGGGTTTATACGTATTGATGTTACTCTGTATGTTGGTTAGATCGGATATATATTGATACTTAGCATATTGTGCATGTGTTGGAAGTTCTTGATATAAAAAACAAGAGTGTTGAGTGAAGGAAAGAAATCAAGAGAGAATGAGAGCCACAAATGAAAAAGGGAAAAATCCACATTAGTGGAGGGAAAGGTTTTTCCTTATTTATATATTGTAGTATGTTAGTACTACTTAGTTGAGTGACTTGGAGGTGGGTGTTGTACCCCACACATGTGCGGAATGCAATGCGCCGAGCCGGGTCAGACTCAGGCTGTGGGGAATGCAATGCGCGCAAGTGTGGGTTTTTTTTTTATCTTTTTGGAGGAATTTTATTTGACAGAATATTCTTTGTTTATTCTAACCGTTTTTCACTCTTGCGATTCACTGATTGTTTAGCCGTTAATCCCTTATTACAGCTAACCGTTACACCTTAACTATTGCTCTTGACTGACCAACGTTCTTCCTTTGATTGTGGGAAATAACGGTTTTGCTTGATCTTCGCTGAACGTTGCCTGATTCTCGGCCTTAATCATATGGTCGTTTCATCATTTTCCCTGTAGCCCGTTACCATTCCATACTCTATATAAACCTATGTTTGCTTCTTCGATCAACATAGAAAAACTCATACCTTTCTTTCTTCTCTTAGCATACTAAACACTGTTCTTAATTTTTTCTGGGCAAATATTCTGAATTCCAGTCGGGTTTGTGAGTGCACATAAACTCTGGCGCCGTGCTTATCCTGGAGGGCGGCCGCTTCTTGTCTGCTGCACCGGGAGATAGCGCGAAATTGTCTTTTAGGTCAGTGGTTCACCACGACACGGCTACTATTTTTCTGGTTTACGCATCAAGGGATAAGTTTATTGCCTTTAGTATCATATCAGTTTAACAGCATGTTGGTTAGATCGGTTTATGTTGGTGTTGAGAACTTAATTAGGACTATTATTATTCTGCTACTCTCTTAATCTCTTGCGAGTAGAGTTTAAAGAATGCAATAAAAGATTTAAGATTTAAACTTTAAAATATGATTGCAGTTTTGCTAATATTTCTTGGTTTATTAAGAGAATAATGATTACGAAGGGTGACTTAATTTTTTGTATGAGTCAAGGAGTATATGTCATGTTGATATTATTACGAGGTGAGAAAGTATCCTAAATTGTGGCCTGGGTTGAGGTCATCTAGCATGACATGCGTGTTGGTTAAATCTTATATTGATGTGAACAACATTAGTATTTTATGCTGGAAAGATGTATAAATGTAAGTTTATAGGTTTTTGAATTGTAAGCTACAAGTATAATTCTTCGCATCGCAAAGTTAATTCCTTATTATTACGATATGATCTCTATACTATTCTATCAATTAAAATTCTTTGTTGATTATGATCTGATCTTATTAATTGTCTAACTATTAATGTACATGATTATATTACCAAAATCTCATATCTAATTCAACTACCAAAATCTCAAAATTAAATTGAAGTTTGTTTTCTCCCCAAAGTTGATATTTAGGATCAATTCAATGTCCTAAAAACTCGGCCAATTAATATAGAAAACTAAAATACAAAATAATTATAATGAATGAGACTTTCCACCCGTTTATTTTTTTTTCTTTTTTTTTCATTCATCAATTTAAACTAAACCTAGCTTAGGTTTTTTTTTTTTTTTTTTACCTCACACGTACTGTTTTTCCTCTCCTTTTAAAATTATCTCCTTACCCTCTTTTAAAACTCTTTTAAATTTTATTTGTATACTCACTTTATACACTTTTTTTTTCTTCTTTATAAACTTTTATTCAATCGGTTATCTTGCTATACTCTTTTTCCTTTTTTGACGATTCTTTATGACTATATTAATGTTAACCGACACCAAATCATTTTAGAATTAAGACTTTGTTGTTGTTGTTGTTGGGACTTTCCACCCATTGATTTGAAAAAGAATCGTTACAAGGCCCTTCTAAAATTTGCTAATGGAGGCTAATGATTGAGAATTGAGAGAGAAGAAGAAGAGTTAATAAAATAATAACATAATACTAAAACAGACACCAGAAATGGCACGTGTTACTTTCTGGTGCTGTTTTTTTCCCTCCAAAAATCCATCCTATTTTCTTGCCAAAATCATTTTAAGGAATATTTAGACACTACTAGAAATAGGCCGGATTCTGACGGACTGAAATTCCCTCGGAAAATTCGAATTTTCCGATGGAAATTGGATATGTCAGAAAATTCCGCCGAAAAATGTTAGTTCCGACGGAAAATCCCTCGGAAATATTACAACGGATTTTTTTTCCCTCGGAAGCAATCAATTCCGAGAGAAAAAAATCCTTCAATTTCCGTTGGAAGCGGTCAATTCCGAGGGAAAAAAATCCGTCGGAAAATATTAATTTCCTACGGATTTAAAATTCGTAGGAAAATTCCGAGGGATTTTAATTCCGTCGAAAATTTCCGAAGGAAGTTTAAGCTTTTTCGACGGAAAAAAAAAAAAGAAAAGAAATAACAAAACGATACAAAAACCCGGAAACCCTAAATTCCCCCTTCCCCTTTCATCTCTCTTTTCTCTCTCCTCTTTCCGCCTCTTTCCTCTTTCTCTTTCCTCTCTTCTTTCCTCTGCTCTTCCTCTCTGATTTCCTCTCCTCCTTCATTCTATCTTCTTCTCTTTCTTCGTTGCTCTTTTCTCTTTCTCACTCTTGCACCGTCAACAACAACTACAAACCGCTATAATCGACAACAACTCCGACCATGAAAACTCTAGATCTAGATTTTTCATGGTCGAATTTGGCCTCGTAAACCCATTTTTGAGGTTTTATGTGGTCGAATTAAGGTACATATCTTTTTTTTAATTAATTTGTTGTATTTTTGGTTTTTTGTTGATGTTTTTTCCGGTTTTTTTTCATTAATTTGTTGTTAGATATTTAATGTTTTTTCGGTTGTTTTTTTCGAATTTTTTGATGTTTTATTGGGTGGGTTTCGGTGCTGGGTGTGGGTGGTGGTTTTAGGTAGGTTTCGGTGTTGGGTGTCGGTGGTGGTTTAAGGTGGGTTTCGGTGGTGGTTGGGGAGGGTGGGGAATGGTGGTTTCGGTGGTGGTTTGTAGATGGTGGTGGTAGCTGGTGGTGTGGGGAGGCGTGGGTGGGTCTGGGTTAGGAGGATCTGGGCTAGGTGTAGGGAGGATCTGGGCTGGGTTCAGTGGTGGTAGGTAGCGCTGGGTGGTCTGGGCTTAGGGTTAAAGTTAGAGGGTGGTGGAGTGGTGGTGAGCAGGACTAATTTTTTTTTTTTATTGACTTTTCCGACGGAAAATTCCGTCGGAATATACTTCTTCCGACAGAAAATTCCGTCGGAATATAACTCATACCAACGGAAAATTCCGTCGGAACATTGCGACGGACTTTCCAAATAAGTCAATCTTGACTCCGACAGAACAAAATCCGTCGGAAATTCCTTCGGAATGGACCTTTCTGACGAAATTTCCGACGGAATATCGCGAAATTCCTACAACATGTATTGCGACGGTGCCTTCCGTCGGAATGGGCATTTCTGACGGAATTTTAGGGTTTTCCTACGGATTTTTTCCGTCATTGATTGGCTGTTTTCTAGTAGTGAGATAATATGAATTTTCTATTTTTGTTTCTTCTATACATACAATGTCAACTAAAATATTATTCTAATATTATTTTATACTTCATGACTATTCTGGCCAAAATCTTTTAAAAGAATATTTGTATACTGTATTATGATTTCCTATTTGGTCATCTTATTTCTTCTACATACAATCAACTAAAATATTTGTGCATCATTTTCTAAAGCGGCAGTTTTTATGTAAATGCATTACTTCCTTTTTTTTTTGGACGACCCCTTTTTTTCATACATATTTTTAATTATATCTCCATCTTCACATGTTCCCGCACTTTTTTATTTATTTATTTATTATTATTATTCCGCTCCTCTCACATCCTTTATTTTTTTAATAACCATCGCCCCCTAATTTCAATTTAAATTTTTTTTATCTCCAAACGAATTCCACCTACACAAAATTTTACTTCTTTCAATTCACCATCCTAAAATTTAGTGTTGGTAAAACCGATGCACTTAAAAAAATGGAGGAGTATAAATTTGGCAATTTTGTCTCTAAGAATTTACTGTATATCATATATGATTGTAAAATAAATATTGTCTTTGAACAACTTATATCACATGTCTAATTCTTGAAAAAAGTATTATCTCAGCTCAATCAAATGTAATAATATGGACGATAGTACATTAAATTGTTGAAATATTAGTTACTAAAAAAATATTTATATCTCAGCTAATCACAAAAAAAAAAAAAAAAAAAAAAAAAAAAAATTTGCCAGTACATGCACTTATTTGAGTTAAATTTTTACTTTTAAGTAGGGCAACTAACGAGCGCAATGCACGCGTCATAACTAACCATACACATGGAGCTTTTTTTTAGTTGGTCTTATGTCACAACTTAAGTTGTTGCTAGCATTAATAAAGGAAAATAGCCATAACTAACTATATCCGGGGAGCTTTTTTTAATTGGTTTGTCACAATTTAAGTTGTTGCCAGCATTAATAAAGGAAAATACATAAAAAGAAAATAATAAAAATAAATAATTAAATAAAAATTGTATGTAAATAATCATATTAATAGGCATAATTGTCTCAACAATATTCATAAAAATTGAATAATATTTTTAGGGGCACGATTGTCTCAACATATTCATAAATGTAATGATATAATATAAGAGTAACTATGTACATAAACATTTCAATGGGGCGTAATTGTCTCAACAGTACACTATTCAATTATTCATAAATGTTTAGTCATACTTTTAAAAAGGAAGAGATAAAGAATCTACTATAAATTGTTAGTTAAACATGTCATGTTGACATCACTATTGTCCACGTGACAGCTTCATTATAAAAAATTTCCCCCTAATCTTAAGCTAA